GTGCCCCTCCCACCTTCCCTGCAGGCCCATTTCCACAGGGCTAGATTCTTTTCATGCTCTGAGCCTTCAAGAGAGAGTCTGGAATTTTCTCCCATATCCTGATGTTAGGAAAGTCCCAGTTGTGTTGATTGTCCCCAAAGACAGACTAAACCCCATTAACAGGCCTATACTCTGAACTCTGAGGCAGGACACCACTGGAGCCTCTTTCCAAGCCAAATTGTAGAGCTGCCCAGCAGCTGGCCAGCCACACTTTCTTCTCCTTTCTCCCAGCCTGTATCCATCTGGGCCCCCATCCTTTGGGACATCTCCCCACACAGGGGAGTAGATGAAGCCATTGCTGGCGATCCAGTGAGCTCTACACTTGTGAGAATAAGAGGGAGGCCAAAGTGGCTTAAGCATATGAGCAGCACTTACACTTTCTTTCCATGCTCCTGAAAGGGGAAAAGGAGTGACTTCACAGAATTATGGATGTAGATGAATAAAAGTGTGTGCAGAGCAGGAGGTCTAGGGAATAGGGTTGACTTGTGAACTCAAATTGTTCGAGGCCACAGCCATGCCTTTTGCATGCTTCATTTATTCACCAGAGGGATGCCAGGCCATGAGGGCAACCAGGCTGGTCTACGCTCCCGGCTTGGAATCAGAAGATCAGGGTTTGCCTCCTGGCTCTACCTCTCTCAGCTTTGCAGTCTCCATCAATGGTTAGCCTCTCTGGGTCTCTATTACCTCCATGTTAACTAGAGATGATTAAACTATGAGGTTTACAGGAGCCACTGCTCATCAGATCCCCACCTCTGTGCCTGGAAAGTGAGGTCCTGTCAATGAGTGCTGGTGTCTCCTCTCCCTACCCCGGATGCTGACCCTTACTCTACTCACTGCCTACAGTATCCTTTCATCGCCTCTTCTGCCCTACCCTCAGCACATCTCATTTGGTTTTCTGAGAAGTTTCTCTTCTCTTTTGTGAAATGGGCAGCACATAAGGGCTGCTGCCCTCATAAGAGGAAGTCCTCCAACCTCAGGGCCTTTCCCCAGGCTCACACGAGGACCTCTGCCCTGCCACCCAGAAGGCCTCCAACAAGACTTCTCTTTCTTCAAGTTCTTCTAGGAGATAACAGTCAATTCTCTCTCCACCAATTCCCTAGGGAGTTTCCAGAGCCACAGCTGGACAGAACAGATGTGAGCCATCTTTTTCTTGGGGACTCCCTATCACCTATTATCATGACCCCAGAACTCCAAGGACACTCGGCCTTCCGTCCACTTTCTCTTGAACTCTGCCTAGGCCACTTGCCCAGGTCATCTGCTGTACCTTACCTGCCCTCAGCAAAATGTGTCAGTCCTCAGAGGCCTCGTTGTCAGGGTGTCTGCTCCACTGAGCCCCACAGTGTGTTAATAAGTGAGAGTAACTCCATTAACTGTCCCATAGTATAAATGTATAAGGTGTGATACCCTGGTTCATTTTTATAGTAGACCAGAACATTAAACAACAATGAATTGTTAGAAGAGAAAGGCATTTCTTTTTCAGTCAATTTTTAATCTTTCAGATTCAATCAGGAGAAGTCTTTAGTACTTGCCAATCTCAGCCCCCTTCTTTCTGTCTGTCTGTCTGTCTGTCTGTCTCTCTCTCTCTCTCTCTCTCTCTCTCTATCCTCCAACAAGAGAGAGTAAACTCAGGGTTCATAGCATCAGACAGGCAGCTGCATTAAGTTCAAACTGAAAAACAATGTTTGTTTTGATTGTATTTTAGCAAGTATTATTGGTTTTAAAGTTATAGCAGTTATAAAATGTTACCTTTCAAAATGAATTGATTTATGTAAAAAAAAAAAAAGTCACTTTAAAGAAAATCACTAAGTATACAACATAAGAGAACAGTGTTATAGAGACTTGTGAAAAATCTCAAAGGTAGAATGCCAAAACTGGGGACTTGTTTTAGCTGAAAGACACACCATAACATTGAGAATTCCAGGCCCTTAAGACCAGCTGGTGGATGAGGAGTTTGGATCCCAGAGATTTTTAATGAACCCTCAAATCCCAGCTCTCATGGTGTCATGCACCCTTAGGATGGACTCCATCTCTTTAACTCTGCCCATTCATTCATTCAACAAGTAAGTACGTTAAAAAAAAAAAAGACTAAAAGACCGAAATTTGCTGATCGGGTCACCCTATGCAACACCAAGTCTGGGCTCTGGAAGATGAAGGTGAAGAGAGGAGAGTTGGGGTTGGCAGGCAAAGTCTTCGTAGTCATTGGTTGGCTGGCAAGAGCTGAGTTCATCAGTCAGGTGAGAGACTTAGGTTGATCAAAAGCAGGCAGAAGCATACGTGAGACTCTGGATTACGGTGACCAGCTGCTTCTGCTGTATATGTGGCATGTCTGAGTCAGGATGATGTGCCCAGACAGGTCTGCACCAGTGTCAGATGGAGAGAACACAGGTGCCACTTATTAAAATTGTGTCACAGAAAGACCACACATAAAGAAGTCAGAAGTCCTAGACTCTAATTTTAGTTTTGATTTCAGCTGACTGTATGAATTTTAACAAGTTGCTTTACCTCCCCAGACCTCAGTGTTCTCATTTGCAAAAGGTCAGGGATGAGTAATATCTCTTAGTTCATAAAGCGATTGGGAGAATTAAAAGTGAGCTTCAGCAAGACAGGAGCCATGCCTGTTTCACGAGTTAATGTATACCCAGTCTCTGTCCCATGGTAAGTTCTAATTATTTTCGTGAATTAATATGTAACATGTTCAGCAGCAACATCCCACATATTGTAGGTTTTTTAAAACGGTAGATCTTGTGATAACTGTCTTTCCTCTACTCGTATCACCAGCAGTTCCCTGAAATGAGAATAAATCCATAGCAGGACAACAACGAGGGAAGCTGATTGAGGAGTAAAGTGGTTCTCTGCAGATTCCAAGAGACTTAAAATTTGGCAGGTGCATGGACCTAAGTTCCTTGGTTCAGTAAGGCACCTATGTGCAAGGCTAGTTCTCCAAGCTCCAGCTTTGTCAGTTTGCCTTGAGTGGGGAGAGCAGAAAGATTTTGGCCTGAAATCCTGACCATGAAGCAAAGAGAAAGAAATGCTGGCTAGCAAGAGAGAAAGGTTAAACAGCTTAAAGGGCTTATTATTTTCCTCTTAAAACTAATCCAAGAACCTATATTACAAAGAAAAGCCACAAGAAAGCATGTGGACTTTCCCAGTTATAATGACGAACAACTGCTCCTGCTTTTTTGCAGCATCTGTGGGCTTGAATGTGACCCCTCGTTGTACAGAAAATCAAGCACAGACATTCCTTCCTTCTGACCTCCAGCTACCCACAAGGGTGGACCAAGTTGGCTGCGTTATGCAAGCTGCTGTGTAGCAGAGAGGCTAAATAGCTCTACTTGTTGCAATTCCTCCTACATTCATTCAGTAGAACATGATTAAGCACTTTCTTGGTCCAGACATCATCCATGTATTAGGAATCCAGGAACTCCTAGATAAATGGAGGACACAAGTAAGACCAATAATTGCAATAGTGTAGACAAACACTTGTTTAGGTTTAATATCGATGCTGTAGAAATGTAAACGAAAGGCATCTTTTCCAGCCTTGGTTTCCGGGAGGAAAGGGCCTCTGAGCTTGGTTTTGCAGTATGAGTAGAAGTCGATCTGGTAAAGAAGACAAGCAAGATCCTCCAAGAAAAGGAAACAACTTGTGAAAAGACTCAGAAGTTTGCCCTTGTAGAGGGGAGGAAAGAAAAAAGCTTGGCCTTTCTGGAGCCAGGGTACCTGAAGTGAGAAAGGAGAGTTGAAACTGGAGAGAGAAGGGCCAAGCTCCACGTGGGTACACTGAGGGACCTGGAGTTCATCCTGAGGACAAAAGGGAACCACAGAAGGATTCTCAGTAGGGAAGAGACCAACTGGATTGGCATTTCAGGCTTTTGGCATCAGAGTAAAGGATGTATTAAACATGTGAGACCATGGGCTAAGAGCCCAGCTGGTAGCCTTGAAACTTTCAGGAAAAGTGTCTTAAGAATCCGAAAAAGAGTAACGTTAGTTAGGATGCTGAGGAGGGGGCTGGAGTTAGAGTGTAAGGATGACTTCCAGTTTTCTATTCAATCTGCTGAAC